ATTTTTTTTTTTTTTTTTTTTTTTTTTTTTTTTTTTTTTTTAAACAAAAGTTGACAGGAATGCAGAAAAAAAGTGCCATGGGCAAATCACTAGACTTCCCATGGGGAGAAGGAAGGGAAAGCACAGTGTTGAATAACTCTAACCAAATAAATTAACCAAATAAATAGCCACAGCTGAAACCTGTGGGAGGTCTTCTAAACTTCAAACAATAAATAACTGTATAGTACATGGGAAAACCAAGTTTACATAAACACATTATACAGGTATGGAAAAAAAGTAAAGTCCTTGAATATTGCATTGATTGTGCATTCAACATGCCCATACATACTCTTAAGACTCGCAGGGTGACAAAAGGCCGGGGGGAGTTGAGAAAGGGGCTTCTCATGCCCAGTGGTAGAGATGATAAAAGGAAACATGAATAAATGTTTCCAATAAAAAAAGCTGATATACCTGTTTGTATTTCTGTGCAGGCTATAGGAAATATTTTGAGCAGCAGAGGTGGGTTGGATTTGGAAAGGGGCGGGGGGCAGGAGTGAAATGTCTGTGTTCAAGTATTCCATCACCAGTGGATGGGACTACTTCATTCAATCACCAAACATGTTCTCCAATGCATCATAGGAGCTGCTTCCCCCAGCACTGAGTCTGAAGGCAGCAAATTCCTATGATGAACTGGATCTTCTTTGGACATACACAGCTCAAAAAAGAAAGTCCCACTGAAGCAGCTTTCAAAAAGGCACTCAAAAGCAAATAAAATCTAGTCCAGGCTCTATGAGAGCAAAAAAGTTTACCATGTATTCAAGAGGTCACTGCTTTCTTAATAAGGTCAGTCTTTGACTAAGTACTGGCCTGCAACTCCTAAACATCAGCGTTTCCAAAGGAAATCTCTCATTCCAAAGCAGAAACCAGCAAAAGGGGAAAATAAAATCAAGTCCCTCAGACAAAGATTCAACTACAGAATAATGAATGCATTTTTCTAGCCCCTCCTACGTATTGGCAGCAGCACTGTGGTCTTTCTGCTTGTAGCTCCCCTCCCAGTGCGAGGTCCTTAGCCATTCACAGACTCTCATTACTTGAACTTGTGCTCGATACATCAGTATCAAGGGTCCGTAGCCTTATATCACAGTCCTCAGACTTCACTACTTCTGATTTGTGCATCCATTGATGGTCAAAAATCTGCTCAAGTGTTGGTCTGTCTGAAGGCCTCAGTGAAAGGCACCATTTAATAAGCTGTTGACATTCTGGGAAAAAAAAAAAAAAAAAAGAAAAAAAAAAGAAAAAAGCAATGTTAGACTATAAAA